GCTCCACAGCGCCTGCTTCAGCTGCCTTCGTGGTTGTTGGAACAAATTGTTCTCATCCGCCCATTTCACCAGGAAAAGTCTTCATGTGCTTGGGAAAGACACCCCCTTAACTCACCAACGGGTTTGAGACCCTTCACTTGCCATCAACCTGGTTTAGTACATCTGCCAAAACAGTTTATTGGTGGGGGGGTGGGGGTGAGGGGTGTCGCTGCTGCACATGCTACAGCTTCTTGGAGTCACAGGTGAGAGTTAGGTGGATCAGTTAGACACTGAAGGTAGAAAGCAGCCTTGAAAAGGGCTTGGCAGCTCTCACACCAGAAATGCCAGTCTTTTCTGAACACACTGTACACCCCCAAAGAAAAAATTCTTCAAAAAAGAAAGAATTCTAGTACCAAAGAACCATAGTCAGGATCACAAAAATTTAGCAGTTACACTATAAGGGAATAAAGAGTATGGATATGACGTTACAAAATGCAAAAGATGTAGGCCTACAACCAAGAAAAAATTACCCAGAAAAATTGAGTATATTCCTATAGGGGGAAAAATGGACCTGCAGGGAAATATAAGAATTTAAAACATTCCTAATGGAAAGACTGGAACTGAATAGAAACTTTAAAATATAAACATGGGAATCAAGAGAAACATTAAAAAGTAAATATGATTAAGCAATAGAAGGGATTTTATAAAGATGAACTTTTTAATGTGGTAATGGAGGGGATGATAAAAGAATCCCTTTAGAACCATAATGTCATCATCAGGAGTCGTAGAGTGAGTCAATTAAGACAGGAGTGTTGATATTGTTGTTTTGGTGATCTTCAAAAAACAAAATAAAGGGTGGGAAAATGGACATACAGAGGTAAAAAAGAGGAAGGATGGTGGAACTTGTCACATTATTATCTCATAGTGTAAGTAGAAGTTTCAGCAAACATGTAAGAGATCACAGGAACGGGCACTTGAATCTCACCTTCATCTGGTATTAATTGTTAGGCCAAAATTAGCACAAGTAGCAGAGAGTTGATCCATATTTTGTTGCATCTCAGCTTCAGGGGCTGCATTGAGTGCACAGTCATCTGCAAACAAAAAATCATACACCAACATTCACTCCACTTTAGTCTTGGCTTGTAGCCTTTTCAGGTGGAATAATTTACTATCAGTGCAGTAAGCTGCGTTTGATGCCATGTTTGTCTTCATTGAAGGCATTTTAAAACATGGCTGAAAATATCATGCTAAAAAGCTTGAGTGGGAGCAAGCACGTAGCCTTGTTTCACTCTATTGGTAACTGGGAAAGCATGAGAGCATTGTCCATTATCCAGAACCCAGGCAAGCATGCAGTCATGGAATTGATGTAGAATACTCATGAACTTCTCTAGGCAACCAAATTTTGCCATGATTTCCTACAAACTTTTGTGACTTACCGTAACAAAAACCTTGGTCAGATTGCCAAACGTGTATAGACCTCTGCTGTGATCTGGCATTTCTAGTGGAGTTGTTGGGCAGCAGACACCTTGTTGACCATTCCTTGACCCTTTCTGGTAGATGACCATCTTCCAGGTAAAGGATCAGCCTGTTAAGGAGGACTCTGGCAAGAATCTTGCTAGCAATGACTAAGAGAGAGACCCCCTTTGATTGTCATAGGACAGTCCTTTACCTTTATAGAAATGGACAATGAAGGGGAAATCCTAGGGGATAGCTATTAGATTAATAAATAATATTATATAATATAATTAAATAATATAAATAAATTATAATAATAAATAACACTGGAAGCTGTTTTTTTTTTCTGATAAGGGTTTTGTATCCAAGATATGGAAACTGTATGTGTGTGTGTAAGTATGTGTGTATGATTAATAGCCATTCCCCAACAGATAACTTGCCAAAGAATGTGAACAAAGTTCTCAAAAGAACTGCAAAGTATTCACAACTACATGGAACAGTGCTGCAAATTATTAGTAATAAGAAAAATACAAATTAAAACAACTCCGAAGTTTCACCTCATATACTCTGCAAATGAGCAAAAATGACAAAAAATGGTGACAATGGAGGGGTTGTAGAAGGATAGGCACAATTATACATTGTTGTTGGATCTGTGAAATGTTACAACCCTTTTGGAAAGCAGTTAGGAATTATGCAAATAAGGTGACTAAAATATCTATATCCTTTGAACCAGAGACTCCATTACTGGGCTTTAAAAAAGCCGTTGATAAAAAGAAAGTCCCCATATACACCAAAATATTTATAGCAGCACTTTTTGTAATAGCAGAGAATTAGAAACAAAGTAGATGTTTATCAGCTGGGGAATGGCTAAACAAATTGTGGTACATAAATGTAATGAAATGTTACTGTACTATAAGAAATGCTGTGTATGATGAATACAGAGAAGCATGGAAAGATCTATATGAATTTATATAGAGTGAAGTAAGTAGAGCCAAGAAAATAATATATCTAGTAACTCAAAAATGTAAAAATTAAAAGTAAATATAACAAAATTATAAAGATCTAAGAGGACTTAAATGAAGAGAGATGATAAGACACCCCCAAACCACCTCTGCTTGGAGGTGGGAGGTTTATGGATGTTATACATTGCACATATTTTGGGCTTTTTCAATGTATTGATGAGTTGTACTGACTTTTTTCTTCTCTAAAAAGAAATACTATTTATCAGGATGGCTTTCTGAGAAAAAGGGGAAGGATACTTGAGATAACTATGGGATTTAAGAAACAGAAAATATCAATAAAAACTTAAAGAAAAAGGTCCATCTACCAAGACACACAAAAACTATGTGAATTTAATTACTAAACACTTTCTACAGAGATAAGGAAAAACTTAAATAGAGAAATGCTTTGTTCCTGTTTGGGTCAAGGCAATATAGTAAAAATTATTACAGTACTTAAGTTATTTTCCTGAATCAGTGTTATTCTAATAAGACTATCAAAAGGTTACTTTTATAAAGCTAGGAAAAAAATAATTCATGTAGAGGAATACTATGTCAAGAATCTCACAGGAAAGAATGAAAAAAGGAAGGGTGCTTAGAAATATTTACTCACACTATTTAAAGCATCAGTCATTGAAACTATTTGGTGCCGTTTAACAAAAAATAGAAAAATTGATCAGTGAAACAGATTAGGTACCTGAGATCCAGAAGCAAATGAGCTTTACTGTTCAGTAAACCCAGAGATCCCAACTACTGAGGTAATGACTCGTTATTTGGTAAAAAGTACTGGGAAAACTGAAAGGCAATCTGGTAGAAATTAGGTAAAACCAACATATCATGTACAACTATAAAGTCCAAGTGGATCTATGACCTAGGGAGAAAAGATCACATCAAAAACAAATTAGACCAGCAAGGAAGAAAATACCTTTCACAATTATTTAGAGGTAAAAGTTCATGACTAAACAAAGGATAGAGAGGATCACAGGAGATAAAATGGAAAATATTGATAATATAAAATTTAGAAGTTTTTGTACTAAAGCAATGCAGTGACAATTAGAAGGGTACCTAGGGAAAATATTTGCAACAAGTTTCTCTGATAATATCCAAATTTTCTGATATATCTAGGATATATAGGCAACTGATCAAATATATAAGAATAAGAATTATTCTCCTGCAGTGTATTGGTACTGTGCTAGACACTGAAGATTCAAGTGCAAAGAACGAAACAGTCCCTGCCTGTGTTGAGCTTAAATTCTAATGGAAAAAACAAGTACATATAATGCATATATGTATATATGTGTGTGTGTGTGTGTACATATAATATATTGCAACATAATATATATTATTATATACAACATAAATATAAAGTTAATAAATGCACTTACATGCATGTACATGCACACACAGTACTTAAATATAATGAAAGTTGTTTGAGAAGGAGGTCAGTTGCTAGCAGCTGAGGGAATCAGGAAAGACTACATGCAGAAAATGATGTTTGAGCTACATCTTAAAGGAAGAGAGGAATTTTTAAGCAGAGGTAAAGAGGGAGTGCCTTTCAGACATGAGGGATGGCCAGTATAAAGGCATGGAGATGGAAGATGGAGTGTCATGTTTAAGGAAACAGAGAAGGACAATTTGGCTTTACACTGAATGTGAGGGGAGGAGGGAGGAGGAGTATTATCCAATGAATACGGAAAGATAGGTTGGGGCCAAGTTGTATAGGTTTTAAAAGTTAAGTAGAGAAGTTTCTATTTTATCCTGGAGGACATAGGAAGCTATTGGAGTCATATGGTCAGCTCTGTGCTTAAAGAAAAGTATTTTGGTAGCAGGAATGGTAAGATACTTAAGGTAGCAAGAGATGAGGAAGGAATGCATACCATGTATAGGGACGTAACATGTAGTAAACCTGGTAGGTTGGAGTCCTAGAAGACTGAATAGTGAAGGACTCTAAAAGCCAAAGGGTTTAGCTTTTAAATACTTCACTCGTCATTTAATAAGAGCAGAGTACAGCAAATCTGTCACCTCTCTATTTTCAGATACTGTTAGCCATTTTTACCTGCCTTTTCTCGGCCAAAAATCATTTTCCTTGATAGAGAAAACAGGAGCAAAATTAGAATTTAATTTTGTGTCAGTCATCCGTCATCCTATCCACCCTCATAAGTGGTCCACTTACTTCCTTGATTCTCCTCTTTTCGCCACTATGCCTTAAAAATCTTTCTATTCTCCTTTACTTTCCTTATGAACATTGATTCTTTCTGAGTTATAATATTCTTGATACAGTTCTTAGGGAACTATGCCATGCTTTTATATTCATTTATTCTCTGTTAGTTGACCTTGCTGGCATCTTCTTTACATATCTTCAAAAAATTAAGTTGCTAAGTTCTCAAAGTATCTATATTTGTATCTTTAGACAATATCTTTTTTTCATCTTCTTTGGAATCCTTTCTCTTTTTCTCTTCAGAATTAGATCTTAGTTTCCTCATCAAGAAAATAAGTAGATTATGCTATGAATGAGTTTTTTTCATGTGAGTTTTTTTTTTTAAACTAAATGTTTCTATCTTTTGGCAGAAAAAAGTGAATCCTGACCTCCCAGTTGAGATAAAGCCCAGCAATCGGGCTCGGAAACACCATGAAGAGAAAATAAAGAAACAGAAGCAGAAAGATATGTTGAAGCGATGGAGAGAGGAACAACAGCGTCGTCATATAGAAATGAGGTAGAAATGAGAAGAAAATTTCAAAAGTATGGACTTTTCAGAGGTGTTTTTTCCAAAACTTACCCACTTACTGTGTATTGGTACTGTGCTAGACACTGAAGATTCAAGTGCAAAGAATGAAACAGTCCCTGCTTGGGTTGAGCTTAAATTTTAATGGAAACTTACCCACTTACGCGACCACTTAACCGTTCCTTTCTTCTGAAAGAGGAATGTTGATCATTCCCAGTAACTTTATTTAGAGAGCACTCATAAAACAAAATTTTCTTCTTCTTTATGTTTGGATTGCTTATTTGGCAAATATTTTGAATGGTTGAAGATTTTCTAAATTTTAAATAATTTTGTGTAGTAGGCATAGTGAAATCAGTGTTGATTTGATTGTTAGAGAGTTTCATTTAAGTTCTAGCAGTGTTGATCTCATTTGTTTCAAAGTATCTAGAGCTAGAAGGAAACTCACAGCTCATGTGGTCCAACATCTTCACTTTACAGATGAGGAAACAGGCTCAGAGAAATGATGACTTGCTGAAGGTCACATAAGTAGTAAGTAACAGAGCTGAGATTTGAACTTAGGGCTTATGACTCCAGGTTCAGCACTCTTTCGACTTACATGGTTTCTCTATGCTTTTGTCAATTCCTGATGCACTTTTGATCAATCAAATAATAATAATGAGAGGTAATATGGAATAGTAGAAAGAATACAAGGATGGTTTCAGGAGACGTGGATTTGAGTCCTGTCTCTGCTACTTCTTAGCTATTTGACCATGGGCATGTCAGTAAATTCTATGATTTACTCATCTGTGTAAGGAAAGATTTGGATTAGATGGAACTTTAAGGTATCTCCAGCTCCACACTCTATGATCTGTGCTCCAGTTATAACAATAGTTGCAATTTATTTTCATATCACTTTTTGGTTACAAAATGCTTTACATATGTTAATTATCTCAGGTGAGCCTTAGAGAAACCTGGTGATGTAGGTAATATGATTATCTCCCTTTTCTAGGTGAGGAAAGTGTTTTGCCCAAGTTCCCAAAGTAGTAAATGGCAGAGTTGGGTTCAAAACCAAGTCTCTTGTTTTCTAAACCAGTGTCTTTTTTCCACCATAGAATTCTCTTAGTCTTTGATTCAACATCAACTTATTTGCTGCCTGTTATAGGCACTGTGGTAGAAACTGAGGAGATGGACAAATCTAATTAAAATACAGTCTCTGTCCAAACAGAAAATGAATTACTTCTTTAGGGCCAAACTTAGTTATTATGAAGTATTTGGTTTCAATTTTATTGTTGTTGTCTTTCTATTTAAATTGTTGCAATATGTTTACACTGTAATAATTTATATGATTGTAGTTGTATGTGTTGTTTTTCTGGTTCTGCTTACTTCATTTTGCATTTGTTCATGCAAATCTTCCCATTCTTCTCTGTTTTCTTCTTATTCATTGTTTCTTATGATTCAGTGATATTCTCCACATTCACATACATGGTTGTCTAACCATTCCCAATCAGTGGGCATCTACTTTAAAAAACCCAAATATTTATTAAACTCATATTATGCGTTCAAATAAAGCTTGCAATATTGCAAGAGAACATGGAGGGATATGCTATAAAACAAACAAAAATAGGTTATAAGTATACAATAAAGGTAACGTAGAACATAATATGATAAAAGCACATGTGGTATCCAGACTACTACGGATGATTCAAGGAAGGAAAGATAGTAATAGTAATAATAATAATAATAATAACGTATTTCTTTAGTATTTTAAGGTTTATGAAATTTTCCTTAAAATTCTATGAGGGAAGTAGATAATATCTGACTGGGGCTGAAGGGATCAGACAAAGCTTTTATGAAGGAGGTGACTTTTAAGCTTAGTCCTGAAGAATGGTCAGGATCTCATTAAGAGAGATCTAGTAGTAATGAATTGTATCAATATAACCACCATGCTCAAATCCAGGAACAGATACACAGATGCCTCTGACTTGTTTCTTTCTTCTTAGGGTAGCATTAACTTTGTCTGTTTCTGGTTCATAAACCCTGGGGATTCATACTGTTGGCTAGCATGTTCTCTGGTCTCATACTATTCTTTCCCTATAGACTCTATGAAGAAGAAATACATTGGAGACGAGTAGGAAAAGAACAGTTGTATTGGGAAGAACATAAACACCGAATAATGACTGATTGGAATCCACCTCCCCTCATGGGCAGACCAGGGGTACCTGTTCCCTTACTTCTGGTGAGTCTTCATATTAACTTTAGTTTGTATGACCTTTGCATGCTATATATTAAGATGTCTGACTTTTGTTATAGACTTAAGAAATAAAGTTCTTTTATTTTTCCCTGAAGTGGCTTCCATGTTGTCTTTCTTTTTTGTAATAAGTAGGATGTGGCTACAAATAGGCGTTATCTGACTTAGTGGATGTTGTGTTTCTGACATGGTTGTATATTTTCACGTAATGGCATTGTCCCATTCATGTCTTCAGTATCAGTACCTTTCTTATTCTTGGGAATATGATTCTTACAAGATCTTCTTAGACTAATTTGTCTGTGAAGGTTGGGCCCTTGATGTTGAATGGATATCTTAGATGTGAACTATCATGGTGAGCCTTGCTGAGGGGAAGAGGCCAACCCATTGGATTTTAAAATCTGTAGATGGGAAATGTAAGAGTATTGCCAAGGGGGAACCAACTAGAAATCAGATCTGTGTTTCCTGAAGTCAACAGGATTTCACTAGGAGTGTCTGTTTCGAAAGACAAAGGTATAAAATTAGTTAATCAGAGTTGTGGATTTTTTTTCTTCTTTTCCACTCTCTGTGTAAGCTAGAAACTCACCTGTTAATGCTAGTGGATTTTAACCCAGCCAGCTTCTGTCTCCCTCTCTTTTTAAAGCACCTGAAACCAAGCTTACTACAATGACTCCAGTTTGGTTTTGGCCAGGCTGCCTTTGACTTTCTTTTGATGCTGTTTGCAGTGCCTTTGTTGTTCCGATAATTTTGAAGTAGCCATGAGAACTCTCATTTCATCCTTTTTCTCTCCTTCTCTCCTCTCATTTTCCCTCTGTATTTGTTTAAATGTATGTCCTTCCCCCCAGCAGGGTTCAAGGTATCCTAACACATCTGATGACCGGCATATCATGTCCAAGCACTCTACTATTTATCCCACTGAAGCAGAGCTACAGGCCATCCAGAAAGTAGTTTCTCATTCAGAGCGAGCCCTGAAGCTGGTCTCAGATATCCTGGCAGAAGAAAAATCTGAACAAGATGAAGAGGGTGGTGAAAAAGGGTAATTTGAGATCATGGAATGTTAGAGCTGAACATAGGAAGAACATAGGAACATAGGAAGAATATCAGATCATCTAGTCCATCCCTCTTCTCATGTTATAAATGAGAGAACAAGATTAGAAGGAGTAAGTGACTTGCCCAGTGGTGGGGTCCTAGATCTTCTGATTCTCAATCCAGTGTTTTTTGTACTACTACATACACTTGATACCCATCATTTCTTTTGATTAGTAGTGGTTATTACAGAAAGGAGTTTCTTCACTTTAGTATTTCAAAATCCATGCTTTCCATAGTGTAGTTGGTTCTTCCACCGACACAGAGCTGTAGTTGATGGTTTTTATGAGGTGTTGTGCCCAACCCACTGATGATTAGAAGCTCCAAACAGATTGATGCCATACATTAAAACTCCAGAATAGTTAAACAATAAAACTCTTCATTATAGAGTCTGCCCAATCAGAAGCAAGACTATACCAATATTTTTGAGCATTACATAACCAAGAGTTAAATTATAAGCTCTTCAAGAAGACATATGCATTTCTGTGTATAGAGACAGAAATATGATGCATAGCTTATAAGCTAGGAGAGTCCTTAGAGACCATCTTGACAGACTTTAAGTATAATTCAGTCTAATCCCTAAAATTTACTGATGAAGAAACTGCAACATGTAAGTTATGTGATATGTGTATGGTTACACAACTGTAAGTAGCAGAGATGGAACCTAGACACAGGTCTTCTGACTTAAAGTCTAGGGCTCTTTTCATCGTCCTACACTGCGTTTCCCTACTCTTTTCCATCTGCCTTCACTGTCTTCCACTAGTCTAGAGGAATTATATTTTTGGTATTCCCAAACCTGTTTTCTTTTCCTAATTATGCTTCCATTTTAAATTTCTTTCAATTAGTATTCACTTACTCAGCAAATATTTATTGCATGTTTACTACATGTAGACATATACTCCTATAAAAGCATATTTAATATAATTTCTTTTGTTGAACTTATGGGTATAGTTGAGGAGGCAATTAACAGGAAATAGCAATAGACAATACACAACCTTTGTTAACTAAACACTAACATCATGCCTTAGTGCATCAAGAAGAGCATTTTGAGTTTTCTTGTGGTTGCTTTTCAGAATCTCAGTATTGCTTTTTACACCCTCTCCTGTGATTGTTTCCTTAACAGAAAAATAGATTCTTCATCAAGAATACTGAAGGGTGTCATGCGAGTTGGGATCTTAGCAAAAGGCCTTCTTCTCCGAGGAGACAGGAATGTGCACCTCATCCTTCTGTCAGCTGAGAAGCCCACAGAGTCCCTTCTCCAAAAAATCACTGAGCAGCTACCCAAGCAACTTTTGGTAAGGTCTCTTTTCATCTATTTCCCTTGTAGAAATATTCTTAAAATGTTTATCGATATATTTTGTTATATCACCACATTTCCCAATATATTCCTCTTTTCCTCCCCTATCCAGAGAACGATCCCTTGTAACAAAGGATAAAAAAGAGAAAAAATAATTCAGCAAAACTAACTGATGCATCAGTCAGGTCCCAAAGTATATGCAGTGTTCTACATACATAGTCCTCTACCTCTGCAAAGAAGGGAGGGAAGTACATATTGCTTCCTTGGGGTCAAGCTTGGTCATTATAATTTTGCAGCATTCAGTTTCAATTTTGTACTTTTGTTTACATTGTTTTAATCATTGTGTATATTGTTTTCCTGGTTCTCCTAACTTCACATTACATTGGTTCATGTAAATCTTCTCATGTCCCCCTATATTCTTCGTAGTCATCATTTCTTATGGTACAATAATATTCTACTTCATTTATATTTGTTTAACCATTCCCTAATCACCAGGCACCTACTTATAAAAAATATTTATTAAACTTATACTATGAGTCAAGTACTATGCTTGCCACTAAGGATATAAAAAAGGAGGGAAAATACATGATCCCTGCCTTCAAGGAACTTGTAATATTTATATATGAGTCAGTGATAGAAGGTAGAATGTAAGAAAAACAAAGGAGAAATTAAGAAAAAGTGCTCTAAGAAAATTTGAGAACTGTTTTCAACTGAGAGTTATCAGGAAGACTTCATTGAGAGATGGCAACTGAGTTTGGCCTTGAAGAATGGAAGGAGTTTCAAAAAGTAGTGAAAAAATGGAGTGGTGGTAACTCCTTTGAAGCCTTTATAATTTTCAGACCCCTCCAGAAATAATGACCTACTAGAATAGCCTTCAAGATTTCAGGGTCAACATATTGCCCCATGAGATTGGGCCCCTTGAAAATCCAACACAGAAAGCAGGCATTTCAGGGAGCACAAGTCGAGAGGTAGAATGTACTAACTTTAATAAGAGTAAGTAGTAAATGTAATGCCACAGTACAGATTTGGATCCCTCTGCATCTATCCCACATCACACTTCATGGATTAATATATATGGGATTGAGGCCCCTCTGAAGGAGGCACTTCCAAAGAACAAAGCAAAAGATCTGCAGTCTTAGTAACAGATACTCTGGGCACAGGATCTGTCTTTCAGAATCATCACCTTATAAATGAGACATAGAATAAATAAAGAACATTTGAGTACTTTAGTCTGTGAATGGGATATAAGATTTCAAAGTAACCTTACAGGGGAAAGGCATAAGGAAAAGACTGATGTAAATTAACGTATCTCCGAAAAGAGTTGCACAAATCAGTGTTACTCACATTAAGAGAGTGGATGGGTAGGGTTGGAACAGGAAAAAATCTGAGCTGCACTTTTATCTGCACTAGGAAATGTAAAAATTTGGAAAATGGTAAAAAAAAAGCAAATTAATAATTAATCTCAAAGAACTTGGAATAGGACAGAGTAACGGGAGGGAAAGCAAGTCTGTGAATAGGCTAGGATCAAATTAGTACAAGCAAAAGTAATAGAGAATAATTACTGACTTATAATAAGATAAAAGAGAACTAAATAGAGAAAAACACAAATGTAACAGTTATAAACTTGAATGTGAATGGATTAAACTCTTAAATGGAAGAATGAAAAGATGGATTAAAAAAACCCCCACCAACAACTACTGCATGTAAGAAGCATGTTTTAAAATACTGATTACTTGCCTATTGATTGAGGCAGCTAGGTGGCTCAGTGGATAGAACACTGGGCCTGGAGTTAGGAACACCTGAATGAAAATCTGACCTCAGACACTAGCTATATGGTTCTGGGCAAGTCAGTATACCTCTACTTCCTTCAGTTTCTCCAAATGTAAAATGGGGATAATAGCACCTAACTCCCAGGGTTGTTGTGAGGACCATATGAGATATTTGTTAAGCTCTTAGTATAGTATTTGGCACAGAGTAGGCACTTAATAAAGTTTAATTGCTTCCTTCATTCCTTCCTTCCATCATTAATGAAGCACCTAATATATGGGTCAGATGCTGTGTTTGGAGCAAGTGATACAGAGACAAAAATATAACAGTAGTTCCTGTCCTTGAGGAGCTTATATTCATTTGGGGGAAATAATAGGTGTTTAAACAAGCCTATATAAAATAAATACAAGGTAAAATTTTAGCTTGGAATGGTGCTAACAGCTGCAAAAATTGGAAAGTTTTAATATAAAAAGTGTTACTCAAGCAGAGTTTTGAAAGAGATAGAAGATTTCTTGAGAGGCCAAGGAGTGGAGGGTATGAATTCCAGGTATGGGGAAGACCTAATGCAATGGCATGGAAGTAGGAGATAGAGTATCATATGTGAGGAACAAAAAGAAAAGTGGTTTGGCTAGACCAGAGAATGTGTGAAAAGGTGTATCATATTATATAATTGGAAAGGTAGGTTAAGACTAGATTGTGGAATATTTTAAAGGCCAAACAAAGGAACTTTTATTTTATCTTAGAGTCAATAAGGAGCCATTGAAGCTTATTGAGTAAAGGAGTGACATGGCTAGTCCTGCAGTTTAGGAAACTCAACTTTAGTAGCTTTATGGAGAAGGGATTGGAGAGGGGAGAGACTTGAGACCAATTAGGAGGTTATTTCAGTAGACTAGCTAAGAGGTAATGAGAGCTGGAATTAGAGTAGTGACCATATGAATAAACAAGAGGGAACAGATGGTTAAAGTGTTGTAGGGGTAGAAAGATAATGTTTGGTAATTAATTGGCTATGTAGTGTGAGGGAGAGATGAATGAAGGATAATGCTAAGGTTGTGAATCTAGGTAACTAGAATAATGGTGGTGCCCTTGACAGAAAAAGGGAAGATGTTAAGGGTTTGAGGGAAAGATAATGAGCTAAGTTTTGGACATGTAGAGTTTCAGATGCCGATGAAACACACATTTTGAAATCTCCTGTAGATGTACTACTGAACTTAGGAAAGAAACTAGGACTGGATATATAGATTTCATAGTCATTTTCACTAAGGTGATTACATTCATGGAAGTTGATGGGAGAGAAAGTATAGAGAGAGAACAGGAAGGGGTCCAGGACAGAGCCTTAGGGAATGCTCAGATTTAGGGGCATGATGTGAATGATTCTGAACCAACAACAGATAGTGAGAAATGGTCAGACAGGTAGAAGGTGAACAAAAAGAGAAAAGTGTCATAGAGCAGGGGAGTATTCAAGAGTGAGTAGTCAACAGAGTTAAATGCTGCAGAGAGGCTAAGAAGAATGAAAAATGACAAAATTTAGAGATTGGTAACTTTATAGAAAGCTGTTTCAGTGGAGATAAAGATATCTAGAGTGAAAATAAATATACATGTAGAGTGAAAACAAGGAGCTAGAACAAAATTTATTTTGCATCAGGCAATCCAGTCAATTAATTAATTAGTATTTATTAAGTTCTTATTTACTATGTTCCACGTATTATGCTAAGTACTGAGGATACCGAAAAAAGAAAAAAAATTAAAAGCTATCCTTGCCCTCAGAGAACTTATATCCTTTTTTCCTACCTCCTTGCCTTTATTTTTTAATATTCCTTTTAAAAATGTTATTTAGCATTTTATTTTTCACTAGTTACATGTAAAAACAATTTTAGTATTCATTTTTAAAATTTTGAGTTCCAAATTCTCTCCCTTCTTCCCTCCTCACTCCTTTCATTGAGAAGGTAAGCAATTCTGTGTAGGTTATACATGTGTAGTTATGTAAAACATTTCCATATTTAGTCATGTTGTGAAAGAAAACATAGGCCAAAAAAAAAAACCTCAAGAAAAATAAAGAAAGTAAAAAAAAAATTACTTCACTCTGCATTCAGACAGCATCAGTTCTTTGGGGATGGATAACATTTTTCATCATAAGTCCTTCAGAGTTGTCTTGGATCATTATATTGCTAATGATAGCTAAGCCATTCACAGCTGATCATCTTACAATATTGTTCTTACTTTAAGAACCTATGTTCTGATGGGGAAGACAACATATGTATAAATAGTCACCTATAAGATAGATACAAAGTAGTCACAAGTTAATTCTAGAGGGGAAGGCATTCGCCCTCATCTTCCTTGGTTCAGGAGCATCAGAAAAGGCCATTGTAGATGCACATTTGATCCATGTTGAAGGAAACCAGTGATTTTTAGAAGTGGAGGTGAGGAGCAAGAGCATTCCAAGCATTGGTTACAGTCTATGCAGTGGACCAGGACAGGAGATAAAAGTATTGGGTAAGATCAGCAGCAAATAGGACCAGACAGTGTTTGGTGAAATTTAATAGGTAAGTAAGTAAGGGGCCAGGTTATGAAGAGTTTTAAATACTAAACAGAGGCATTTATATTTACATAATTCAAAAAAGCAAAAGTTGCAATTATGATTTCATATATCAAGAATATAAGTGCATTGTGTGAAGAGAGATAAGCAAGAAAACTACAATAAACAATGAAAGTTCTCAAATACTCAGGTGAATCTGTAATCTCATTTATATGTGTATTCTCTCCATTGATGAAGATCACAACCTATCTTGTCCGTGTCTACTCATAGATCCACAACAGAGTCACTCTTGTGCTAGGGGCCTTTATGACTTCTCTTGACATTGTGAGGATTTATTAAGCACCTTGTACCAAAGGTATCAATTAATTGCCTTGCATTTGTCATATGACAATGAAACTCATATTTGGCAGATTAGCAAAATGTGTAAAGGAAAAACATAGTTGAATTGCAAAAAGACGGATAGTGACGCATTTGTTTTATAGGAGAGTTTAATGTTTCTCTTTCAGAATTACAGAAATCTAAAAGATTAAAAATAGACTTTAATGATATTGGAAAAATTATATTTGAACAGCTTATGGTATCCTCTCAATGATCATGTTAAAGAATATGCATATTATCAATATCATAATAACTTTATAAAAATAAATCATGAATCAGAGTAAAAATAAAAGTTATAAATAAATGAATAATGGTAGAAA